TTTCAATAAAGCTTTATTGAAGCGCTACGAACCAAAATAAATTTCGTATTTTGCAAAAATAATTAACAAAAATGTAACAAGTTTTACCATTACATGTCTGGGTAACGTTGTAAGTTCTGTTCTTATTATTAAAACGTAAAAAAGAAATGTAATTTGTATTTAGAGCACCAATAAGCTTAGAAAATTTTAACGGAAAAATCCGAGTTGAATCTGGCCACCAAAAACCATCGCATTAACAAAAATACGGGCCTAATTCTAGCTAAAAAGATCAAATGCAACCAAATTTTTAGCCATACACTTTAGATCGTTTCGGTACTATTTGTTTTGTTTTTCCTGAAGGCGCGCGGTCTCGGCCAAGTTTGGAACCAACTCCCATTCATGGTAATGTCGTCCCTCTTCTTTATTGCGTTTATCGAACCAATAATGGGCGTTTGCAACAGTCTAAAATATCGGTACCATTCGTGTCACTATGAACGAGTGCAGGAAATAAATGAAAAAGATAAAAGTTGACACCAAAATCTAGGGAATGCCTCCTTGGCACTTATAGTAAAAGCATTCAAGGATTTTCCTGTTATGAATGTAGCTAGATCAAAGTTTCGTTTAGGTATGACACAAATGTAGTTATTTATTTAATCTTAAATTAAACTAAGGTAAAATGTAGATATAATCGATAACGAAGGCCACTATGAGCCGTATCTTCTGTAAATGGTTTTTGTTGGATGATTTTATTAGATTTCTGCCGCATTAACTAAGAAACGATCTTGCAGCAAACCCCATCAAATGTAATATTTACCGTGCACCGTCCGCTGTCGCCGTAGATTCTTTATCCCGGCCCCCAGGCGGCGAGGCAAGCCGTGCTATTTCTCTTGATAAACTCGACAATGCAACGGAGACTAAACTTACAGTTCTTTATCCTGACATTATATCAGGCGGTTTGGGTGTAATAATAAAATACGAATGCCTTATCTAGTCTTCCTTTGAAACCTAGCCTTTGCCAGAAGCTTTGGAGTTTGTCAAAGAGAGCCCAAATGTATTGCGTCGCGCACGCTATCACTGCGAATATTTCCAGGAAAAGCAGAAGCGTATATCACTCGGGAAAAGTGGGTTCAATTGTTGAATAGGTACTTCAGGGAAAAAGCAATAGTCTATCATATTTGGAAATAGAGCTATAGCGTTCCATTGCATTGTTAAAAGTCACGAGCTCAAGATGTTATGCGGACATATTAAGTTTAATGTTAAAATTATCATTCTTCCGTTCTGTAGATGATAATCTACATTCCACGCCGATAAAATGAATGCGTTTACTGACATAATAAATTTTTGAGCCCATGTACGAGTAGAGTGAACATTGGAATGACGAATGACAGTGTTTGTTTTAATTAATTACACCACATTATTATATGTCAAATACAAATTAGAATTATTGTGTTATTTTAGAAATATCAAAATTAATAGTTCTTCTTTTAGTATACCTAATTAAAATACCTCTCAATAATAAAGGACAGGGTTAAAACCATTAAAATACTATTATTTATACAAAGAAATGACGTCAATTAAGATCAATCTGTTGGTCATAATAAAGAGTACTTTTTCTGATTCAATTTTTTAATTACTCCCAGTGGCTTATAGCTTTATTGGAAGCTAAGCTGCTCCAAGCTGGCTTAAGCACGTCGTCGTATTCAGGATTATCAGGTCCAGAGACTGTTTGTGAATGGATTCTAAGCTCTTTTGCAGCCACCAATACACTTTAAAGACGAGATCAATTAAATTAAAATTTTAGTATTGAAAAACTTTTTAGAGAGAAGCGAGAAGAGTCTAACTACCAATCAAAAACTTAATATTAAAATAAAAAGGGGAAGCCTTGTAATTAAATAACTTCTTATAATGTTAAAAAATAACAGACTAACAAAAAACTAAAGACTCGCTAAAGTTTAAATGTCGCTTGAAAGTTTTATTCCCTAAGAGATCAGTTCGGTTAGTATTGTCATTATTACAAAATATGAGTAGTGAAACGCGTTCTATCAACACTCATCAAAACTTCGTTGATGATAATGGCCGAGACCACGCTTCGCATCCGAGTCCACAAGAACAAAAGCCTAAATTCAATCAATATGCAATTAACTTAATTAAAACAAGGGCCCCAAATAGAACTCTTTTGGAACTATGCCGTGAACGCTTTGTAACAAATTCAATAATCCCTATCCGTATAAAGTTTAATTAGAACGCGATCAAAGCGAGCCGCGTGTTAATTAGGCCCTAACCGTTATTTACATTATGCCCCATCCAGGCTCTTCCCAAACAACTAATTAACCGAATGCTACATAACAATGCAGCTATTTAGTTTTAGGGCCGATAATGTTTAGGGAGCTTCGCATCGGGCGTTATTTGCTTCGTGCCTTTAATGCCAATTCAGCCACTCTGAAACGTAAACTTTTGATCTCCTCTTTCTATAGTCTAGCTTAGAATTTTCCAGCCACTGGTTTCAAGTGGCATAAATTATGAAATCTATTGTATCTTAGCTGAGCGATTCAGAACCCTATGATAAATGATAATGATTTATTTGCTTTGAATAACGGTACATTTAAGTCGTTATTGTATCAAGTAAGTTAAGCTTTTTCAGTCATCTATAAAATAGCAAAATACATTTTCATTTGTCTACCTTCTTCTATTTGAGTACCCCTACAAATTGGTATACAGTCGAATATAATTTCGAGCACAATAAAATGGTTCAATCTTCGGATTGAGAGTTCCACTCTGTAACCTCATGGTTCATAAATTATTATTCTTAAATTACACGTGTAATATACTTAAGGGTCATGACTGTCTAACTGGGGGCTACTGATATACAGGGTGGAAACGATAAGTAATCTCACTCGATTATTTCTAAACTATACAAGATATAAAAAAAACTAGTTACTGATCCTAAAAGTGCTACATGAGCTCTATCAAACGGTGCCAATAATAGGTTAAAGAATAAACTGGATCTATCCGAAAATTCAATGTTTCCGGCTTCCATACATTTGGTACAGTCTCATAATATTAAAAACTACAAAAGATATCGTAAAACTGGTTACTGATCCTAAAAGTGCTTCACGAGCTCTATCCAATAGTATTAATATTAAGTTCCAGAATAAACTGGATCTATCTAAAAATCAATGTTTCCATCTTCCATACATTTAGTACTATCACAGATATGGCACTCATCTCTTGATAATATTATAGCAAATTTTATAGCAAATAAAGCCTAAAACTAATGTTTTCCATAAATTATTTTAAATAAGAATGCAATTTACGAGTTTACTTTAAGTTTAAAAAAATTCGCTTCTAATATTGAGTGGTTGGCATACATTTAGTATGGAAGCTGGAAACATTGGATTTTCCGATAGATCCCGTTTATTCTGTAACCTGTTATTGGTACCATTTAAAAGAGCTCGTGAAGCACTTTCAGGATCAGTAACCAGTTTTTCGATATCTGGTATAGTTTAGAAATAATCGAGTGAGATCACTTATCATTTCCACCCTGTATAACTAAATCGCCGCGGCCCTACTAATAGGACAGCCTAGTCCTTGTCGTTTCATCAAAATATTATAATAATTATATTCTTGAATTAAACAGCTTATTTCAACTCGCTTCATAAAATGCTATTTAAATAAACCGCAAAGTTATGCACTGCATTAGTTTTAGTGGAAAACATGAATACCTGACTGTTAAATTACAAGTTTAACAGCCATGCACTGTTGTAATTTGTTCGGTAACCAAATTCCAGGATGTTAAATGTTAATTTCATTGTTTTAGATTAGGTATGACTGTTGGGCGATGACTTACCAACAATATTTAACAGTTACTATAAAGTATTTAAAACTCCAGTGTGTGAAAGCTCGTTTTATCTAATACGAAAATTGATAGGACTACCAAATAGCACAGTCAGTGAAGAAATCAATCAAAAAGAAAGTAAAGCACAAGATTAATACCATAATATGGGGTGTTTGGCGGAAGGTTAGACAAACTTCGTAGGTGTATAGGTAAGGTCATTTTAAGAATACTAGTTCGCCAATTTGACCCTAAGTGAGCTACTATTTTTTTAATTGATATGTTTGTTTTTGTTTATTTTTTTCCAAAATTTGACCTAAAAACTGCCTCAATTTTTTTTCTCGCGTGTTTTCAATCGCTTTTGTTATTTGATATTAATACCGAATATGTCTTTAGTCAAATAAAATAAAGTTCAGATCCAGATAATAATTGCATAGCTAGTTACGAGCCGCCAAAGTTTAACAAAAGTACAAACGACGATAAAAAAAATCAACTTGGAATTTGATTTTAAAAAAAAAATTAAAGGTGATAGTGGATTGCCAATGTCTTAAAAACATCTCTTGCTTCTCTTCTTTCGAATGATATATCACATGTAGTAATTAGATATTGAAATTCGTCAAAAATTCAAAGTTTAGGGAAGAAAATAGAACAATAATACAAAAGTTATGAAACTTGTATTGTTAAAATGACCTTACCTATACACCCACGAAGTTTATCTAACCTTCGGCCAAACACCCTGTATTATGAAATTCTCTGAACTTGAATTTACGATGAAATTTGAGAGAACACGTGAAACTGTAGGTTATTGATTTTTTATTGAAGGTATAAAATATAAAATAAAAAAGTTATTGACTTTTAAATTAAACCCTAGGTTAATAAAAAAAACCTACTTAAGTAGGTCAGTACAATTCCAATTTTACAGCGTGTAGTAAAATAGTGATATACGAGTTCATACAAAATAAATCAACTTTAATTACAAAATGGTTGGCGACTTTTGACCTGAGCTCGTAAAGATATAGCATTTCGATCAAATATTAACGAAGCGAGATACGTTTTATTAACACTAAACCGGCGGCGATCAAATCTCTACTTACTGTCAACTTGATTAATGTTTTAGTGCACGCTAGAAGCTTTCTCATTTTTATCATTGGGCTCCTGCTTACTGGACAGGGTAGACGAGGGGTTGAAAATGCCCAGAAAAAAGAAACCAGGAATAATCACCACGTTGGTGAAGGAGGCTCAAATACACGGCATCAACAAGCTCGCGGATGAGAATTTTAAGTTCATATTCTTTAACAAAAGTTTTCTTGATTTAAACCCAATAAGATTATTTTACTTAAGAGCAACTTTTTATACGGAGAGATTAATCTTTGTGTNATTTATGTAAAATCTATGTAGTGCCTTTTACCTAAAAATATTATTAATATAATGTAACCCAGATAAGCAAATATTAAGATAGAGCCACAACGAGTCACTGGCACGGATCGGAAAAGAAATATCAAGTATCTGGATAGAAGATGAATATAACTAGCACCTAGATGCACTAGCATTGCATATTGGGCCTGGTGATGATGATGAGAACCAAATAATCAAAATTTCGTTTTAGATTCTACTGGGCAATAGCCCTTCTGCTCGTCATGGCTACAGCCGTGTCGGTGCTGATGCTGCAAATCATGCGTTTCCTGAGCAACCCGACATACATCGCGCGCAAGGAAATGTACCGCACCAACATGACCTTCCCCACCGTCATACTCTGCCCTGAACTCAATTACCAGGATCACAAAATTGAAGCATTCCTCAACAGAGTGTAAGTATAATTAAGATTGTTCAAAATCTGTTGACGTATCAATACAAAAAGAAAATACGAGTATTTCAAAGAAAAAACAGGCTGAGGCAACACTTTATTTAAACCGTAACAATAACATTAACGGGTGCTTTTTGTATGAAGCTTGACAGATTTTTGACGTTTGTCAAATTTAAAGTAAGATGGTGCTCAGCCTTAGTTAATATTTTACAAAACACTCGTTTTCCCTGATCTTAAATAAAATCATAGCTGGTTTGTAACCGATAAACAAACACATCGTATAATTTTGCAGGAACTATCCTAACAATATAAATAGGACCTACGTAAGGAGTGTAATAAAACAACTAATCACCTTTTACAACACAGACGTGAAGTTTAATCTAGAAGATTTGGAGAATTTGGAAAGATTACTGGACTACAACGATATATCATTAAGAGAAGTCACGGAATCTTTGACTACTTCGTGTGAAGAGGCTATTTTACGGTAAACGATATTAAATTTATGTGTAGGTACACATACTTAACATAGTAACATATTACGTAGTTTAAAATCACGAGATTTTGTTTCTTCCTGCGAGTAAAACTCTTTTTATTTCCTTTCTGATTCTTCCAAGAATACCATTTCGACTCAACCATCTTTAGGTAGCCAGGTTTTTAATTATCAAATTAAACGAAACTGATGTTATTTACTAATTCAGGTGCCGCTGGAAAGGTGTGATGAAGAATTGCTCGTCTTTATTTCACATGGAACTGACCGACATCGGTTACTGCTGCGTATTTAATGGACGATCTATCAAAAGGTAAAAAATATTTTATTTATCCTGAGAACTATTGCAAATGTTTGTATGTTCTTTGTATTTTAGGGACCTTGAAAATGGCGCTAATATGATTTCAAAGCCAGTGTACAACTTGAGCACGGTGGATGTCGGCTACAAGAGTGGGCTTGTTTTTGTAGTGAACCAAAGTTCTAAAGTTTCTAACATGGACCTTACTTATAAATGGGTAGGTGCATTAAATTATAATTATAACAAGTAAAATTTTATAATAATTAGTTCAATTCACCCTATAGACTGAATGCAGTGGCTACACATTCCACAACGCACGAATCTACGTCCGTAAAACGCATCTACGTCTGCTCTCCGCCAGTCAAGTGTTACAGATCCAGTATCGGAGAAGTCAGTAAAACGCGCGATTCCTATACCGAAACCGAACGCATGAAGTCGCGAAATCGCGATGCTGCATCGATAGAGTCGCTAAAACGCGCGATTTTTGATACTACGATCAAAGGTAGAGTGTCGCCACTGATTAAGCGCTCGCAAAATCGCCAATCGCCGATGCTAAAAGTAGCATAATATGTGCCCTTACAATATTCTCGACTACTGCTCCTATGTGGGCCATGGCTGTGTGTAACATAGATGAAGATCATGACATAATTGTAGGTATCAGTAACAAACCCTCAACGGTACGTGGACTCCACGACCAACGGAACTCCGCTGTCCCCCGGCAAGGAGGTCTGGTTGGGATACGACTCCATTTCGTTCCATGTGTCGGAGAACGCCAGAGAATTGAACCCGGGATTGCGACACTGTGTCATGAGCACCACAGCATTGGAATACTTCCCCGTTTATCATAAGTATTTCCAGAAATGTATTTATCATATGTAATTTTTAAAAATCTCTTTCATGAACCTCTTCATTAATTAAAGTAAGAGCCTCAAGAGACTCAAACACCAACGCTTGAAAGAAGCATGTCCAAAACGCTGGTCTTCCGTATTGTTGGCATCACACATCCTTTCGAGAAGAAACCGACGTAAATTTTCCTAATTTATTACGAAAATTCGTGCATGCAAGTTCGAGTTTCTCAAAAGGATGCAACAGGGACGCTTTATCATTTACCTTATAATCACTTAATTTCTAAAAAATAATTAAATTTTTATGTCTTTACGTAAATCATACTGCTTACTGGAATGTGGCCTAAGAGAGGCGATGTGGCACTGCAACTGCATCCTGTTCACCCACCCCTCGCGCCGCAACGTGCCCTTCTGCAAAGCCAAGAATATGGAGTGCGCGAGGATCATTGCAGGTAAGGAATATGAGGCAATCAACGTAAGCGAAACCGAAGCAGTGGTAGGATTGATACTAGGACGTGTAAGTGTACTTTATAAAGCCTAAAAAACGAGTTTATGTGTAAAAGATCTAGGTAGAGTTCTGGGATTTCTCTCAATAAATGAACATAAACGATGATAAAAACCTCTCTGATACACAATCCGCGAAAGTTAGAGACGTCACGTAAAATCAGTTTATGGTTTCAGGTATTTAATTGGGCTGACTCAAAGCTGAATTTCTCAGAATGTTTAAGACATGACAAAAACTTATATTAGTATGGTAGATTCGCTAGTGAAATCATAAACTCATTACTGAACGTCGAACACAAAGGCCTGTAAATAGTAGCGAAATTCTTTAAGATTTCCTCAAGGAATTCTTTAGATATAATTCAATTAAATAGCTGTTCCCAGGCTTATTTATTATTCAACAAGCGAAAAATAAATTAATAATTTTGTTTAGTCTAGGATTCAACAGCAATGCCAACAATTATGTGACGATAATACTTCTAGGGTCTGTAAACGCTGGTAAATGCGGCTGCCCTGCGACTTGCGACGTGGACACCGCTGAAATCTCCATAGTGGACTTCATGATGTCACCTGAGTTGAAGCCGATCGATTCCTTTTAGTAAGCGTAGTTTTTTTAGTATCGTTGAAGAGCATAATTAATAAAATTATCCACTAAGGATAGAGCTAAGAAGACCCAAATTAAAAAAAAATTCGCTCGAAATGATGTGTGAGGGTCTAATTTTGAAGGTGACTGCAAATTTTTATTTATTTATATAAAAAGGTAATTATTTTCACAGTGATGGATTGGACTTTGGGAAAGTGAGTGTAATAAAGGTATTTGTAGACAGAAGGGAATTATACCTGAATCTGCGCGAGTCATATTTCTCCAAAGTTGATTTATTTTGTAAGTATTGGGCTTTATTTGTTATGCTAAGTTAGTTAAGCACACTATTAGCCTAAAAATCATTCTCAGTTAAAATTATATTACCACAGACACTTTAAAAAAATATGAATTAAAAACTAAAGGCCTTCGCCCACGACGACTTTTTGTAAACGCGCGACAGCATCACTACTAAGGCGCGTTAGTCGCATTTGCAACGCACTACAGAAGTGATGGCAACGCGCTACTAACGCGCTACAGCAACGCGATTGCATCGCTACAAAAAGTCGCCGTGGGCGAAGGCCCTAAATTATTATCATAGTATTCATTGCCGGTGTGTCAATATAGAAATATGTAGATTTTCGATATTCCAGCGCAAATGGGAGGCATAGTGAACGTTTTCCTAGGCTGCAGCGTGCTAAGCCTGCTCGAGCTGGGTCAGCTGGCCTGGCACTGTCTCCAGCGGTGGCGCGCCAGGAGGAACCAGCTCGTTAAAGTCAACAGGACTAGGAAACCCAAGAAAGGAAAGGACACTCGGAAAAAAGTACGATTTTAACAGCTGTAGGTGGGTAAATTGTCTTTGGTAACTTGTCGATGTAATGTTTCTCTGTACCTTCTTGATCAGAATTTAGGGTAACAGTATTTTTATTTACAGAAATTATGTTTCAAAAAAAACTTTTCATCACGATCAGAACCGCGTGTAAGTTGACCACAGAGCACCTATCCCTAGAGCTCAACACTAATTTGGAATGCATTTCATGCAAGACACATTAGTAAATAAGTAGTAGAGAAAATCACATTAATTAATCAATTCGTTTCTGTAGTAAAAATGCAGTAATAATAAAAACTATAAAAGTTTTCCAGTGAGTTTTGAATTGACATCAGTTTCCCCAACTCTATCTATTTCGCCACTCCAAATTTACCCCAATCCAAACTTCCAAATTCAGCCCATCAAAGCGTTGAACTTGCTCGTAATTAATAAAGTTAATGATCGGATAGGTGGCGGCACCGTCAATGTAATTAAAGCAAACTATTTTATGCCCTTTGAAGTGAAACTGCCGCCAAAAATCACACCGGTGTGAAATGAGAATCTGTGGTTAGGAGCGCGTCGGGGGCGGAACAATGAATTGAAATTGGGTGTTTTTGTTAACTTTGGCCTTTTTGCAAATGAGCACGGCTGTATTAAATGGAACAGGTATATCAGTTTACTCTTAAAATGAAGTTAATCGTTTTATTAGGTAACGAATGGCTTGATGCAAGTTTTCACTTTCCATCAGGCTGGTGAGATGCAGATTAAGAACTTCCTCATTGTGGAAAAAATCCACAAGAAAAAAAAAGATAATGTCGGCTTTTACAAATGCAGGATAGTTTTTGCAAGAGTCTGCAACGTGCTAACACAATTTGAGATTAAATTAAATACACACCGCTGACTTATAATAGAGTCGGAAATTATATTTTATGTAGGTTACAAAGGCATTTGAAAATAGGTTTTGGAATCAATCGAACGGATCCAATCTGAATTAGCTTTCCGCAAGCAACACGCGGCGATCAGCAATCTGTAAAGTCATCCGGCAAATAGCCCCACTTCCGAACACACAATGGGGAGTGTGTGTAAGGATGGGACTGCACTATTCTTTTTTCCAATAAAAAAACCAATATTTTTTTATGAGCTCTACACTACAATCCATCCAGATGCATCCATCTCGTTTCAGCCAAATGACGTCCACTGCTGGACAAAGGCCTCCCCCAAGGTTTTCCACAATGAACGGTCCTGCGCTGCCCGCATCCAGGCTCTTCCCGCGACCTTTACCAGATCGTCGGTCCACCTAGTAGGAGGCCTGCCCACGCTACGTCTTCCAGCNATTTTATTATGAATAAGACCGTTAATCTCAAAGATACACACAGTGATTTAAGTTTGTGCGTCTTTCATGATTATAACTTCAACGATAATAATCTGATAAGGTTACAATATTATACATACACGTATTTTTGTACTAACTAAACATTATTTATTTTTATTCACAAAAATGTATCAATATAAAAAAACGCTCTTCAAATACATTCAGTATTTTATTTCTGGGATCATCTTTTTACATTCATGATTCATTCATGCTGCATTTGAAATTTATGTTAATCCAAATTTTTTAAGGAAAATTTCCCCCAAATTTCTCGATAAGAAAACCAGGAAAATCGCGAAGACGGCAAGACAGAACGAAATTACAAGGGCTACTAATAACCACTGAACCTTATAAAATGTTTAAAAACTCTGGCGTAGACTTATTGGGCCTCTCTTCAGATTTTAAAAGATAATCTGAAAAAATCACAGCCTCTGAGGTGGTTAGTGGTGTCTAAACGAAAGTGTTCTGTGAGGGGGAACTGATAAGGTTGAGTTTGGCGTGAGATGAGGGCGATATGAGGGAATCTCGTGTTCTCGAGGATATTACAGCGCTCTCGGGGAGTACATACGTCTTCATTGCTGCGTGCGTTACGGAGTGCCGCTTAGTTTGCGGTGAGCGAATCATCTTAATCTGCAGCTTATCAACAAGCAATAACTCGTGTTTTTTGTGAGGAAACTATTTTATTTCATTCTTCTTACACACTGAATAACAAGGATCAATCTACTGGTAATTTTTTTTTATACCACTATACCTGGTTCTAGTCTTTTATTTTCATGAAAAGTATTTCAATTGACGCAGGGTGTTAGACATCCTCCCTATATATTATTATTATGAAGGATTGAAACAACTTGTAACTTATTTTACTTATTAGAAAACATTCTGAGAAGTCTTAAACAGGGTGTTAGGTAAAAGGGTATATGAGCCGACATGGGCATATAAATGGTATGGTGAAGTCAGAAAATTGATATCTTCATTTTAATTATTTTAATTTTCATACAAATCGGATTTTATAAAATTTATTTTTAATGAATTTTAATTGAGTTAGCTATTTAAAACCCTCAGTAAATTCTTACTCTAGTTCGTTACTCTTCTCATTTATGTTCCTTGCCTCAGTTTAAATTGACATTCTTAGGCTGGGTTGCACTATCTTACTCTAACTTTGACAAACTTCAAAAATCTGTCAACTCCATACAAAAAACACCGGTTATCGTTAAAGTTACGGTCAAAGTTAGGTGGTGCAACTCAGCCTTAGTGTTTTTGTGAACCTAGAATATGATATTAAATTTCATTCTCCACATTCTACGAACCACAGCATCCATTAAGTATTTCCTCGGAACACTTAACAAGAGTTTTTGTGGCCGAGTGTAATTCAAGCAGATGTGAATCTTAAAAATACTTAGCCAGGAGATTTTCAAACTTAGCCGTTGACGCTATGAAAAAGTTGAAACGCAACGACTCTTTCTTTACTAAGATAAATTGCAACCACTTTTCATGTCGCGGAGATTAAACAATTTCAGCTTGGGTAAAGATAATGCAATAGTGCCATGAAGGCTTAGTGGGACAGTATGAATTAAAACTTGTACTTTAAAAAGAAACTGCACTCTAAAACGAGTATACTTACCCAAGGCATAAGAAAAGCATTTATACCTTTTTACACATCATAATTCAAGGTTTTAGTATTATCGATAGTAAAATCTCAAACTATACTTAACTATGTTTCAATGAATAAACGCTAGATTCGAGTACTATCGAGTCAACTAGTCAAATTCGTCATTAGTCAAAAACTTTTAACCTATACTGTATTAGGTAGGTATGTAATCATTAAATCTGTTAATTTCCATTTGAGTATTACGTCATATTCAACCTACAATACTACCAGTATAACTGTGTACCGTACTGAAATCCGAATCTGGACACTCCATTTTGTAATTATAAGTCCTCGTAACTTTTATTTGTAGATATTCATTAAGTTAAATTTCCAATATTCACCCAAGTACCTAATTATTAAAGGAACATTAATTTGTTTAATTTTTCACCTGATAGGATACCGTTAGCTCGAGAATTTATTGAAGTGTAATTAAAGACAACCCGGTAATTTGTTTATCCAATACAGTGTAAAATACGTATTAAACGATAGAGTCAAAAACAGTGGAGTATTGGAAGATATTTCATATAATTTCAGTCATTTCAACATTATATTGCGGGTTTTAAGTAAGTACTTTGTTGTTAACATATTATACTGAAAAAAAATGTTTGGTTACTGCTTACACAACAAAAGTGACCACCGAACTAAGTGTTAACTATAACCAAACTAAGTCCAGCTCACTACAGAATTATTTGTTTAATTTACACAACATTTTGTTCCTCATAACCAAAATGTTCGGTGGTCACTTTTGTTGTGTAAGCAGTAACCAAAAATTTTTTTTAGTGAAGAGGCTCTGAAAACTGTTAATCACACAATAATTCTTTCTGACCTAAGTTTTATTTTAGGAAATAATACGGGACACGAGTTACGCAACATCTGAGTAAGTGATTAGCGCGTCATTTAGTAATACGGGCCCTCATCAGCCCGGCCTCTCCCTTTTTTAACTAAGGATGTCTTTATATCGATGAATTAGAAAATAAGTTTTTAGTCAAGTATTTTTTTTAAACACTAAACCTATTTTGTAATCATATGAAACTATGAACGTTATAGGTACCTATTTTTTAAAAATATAAAAATTAAAATTCATAAAATTCATTTATTTTTGCAAACAGGCTTTAAAAAAGCGCTTTTACACGTCCCAATATTAACCCTACCACTGCTTCGGGACAATAAATGGGCCAGTGCTGAGAAGAACAA